CTAATATATTACACCTTTGCCATATACCCATGTCATTATACAACTTCGTGTCCATGTAAACCCCATAAGCTTGCAAACACACACATAGCCTGTCATTCTCAAATGATCAACTTTAATTTTTGTAAATGAAGAATCACAATAAATCATAAACAGAGATATCAGATATCTTAGATTTGAACTGTTTTTAAAAATTGTGTAATAAATAAAATCCATATATAACCAGACAAAAAAATTGAATGTAATAATTTAGTGGGGCAGCACAGTGGCGCAGTGGGTAGCACAATCGCCTCACAGCAAGAAGGTTAATGGTTCGAGCCCCGGCTGTGTCAGCTGACATTTCTGTGTGGAGTTTGCATGTCCTCTCCGTGTTCACGTGGGTTTTCTCCAGGTGCTCCGGTTCCCCCCATAAGTTAAAAAAACATGTGGTATACTGTAGGTTGGGCCAGCTAAATTGTCCGTAGTGTATGTGTATGAATGAGTGTGAAGAATGTGTGTGTATGGATGTTTGCCAGTGATGGGTTTCAGTTGGAAGGGCATCCGCTGGGTAAAACATTAGCTAGATAACTTGGAATGAAATTGAAATTGAAATTACTTGTTTTTTTGTTGTTGTTGTTTAGTAAAATCAGTAAAAATGTCCATACAACTACATTTAACATTTTTACTTAACCTAAATCAAAAATTGCTGAGTCTTGTTTTTCCTTGTGAAGCATTACTAAGCATTTTTCCCTGTTTGTCCTGCATTCTTTGATCCTTTTCTTGTTTAACGTTATTATTATTTTGCGTCCTTACTTGTTTCTAATTCTGTGTCTAATTATGTTTTGTTAACATTTCTCTCTGTTTTAGTTTCTTCCTTTTTTTTAATTGAACTTTGTTCTGATAATGTATTTTTTCTTATTACCAATTTACAAGAGTTTTTTTGTTCACTCAACTTCAGACATTTTAGGTCAGTGCAGCTGATGTTTTCAAAAGTTGAGTAAACAAGAAAAAGCAAAAGGAAACAAGGATTATGTTTTGTTCACTCAGCTTCAGGCATTCCAATTCTGCAGACACAAAATGTTTAGTTTGTACAACTTAAAATGTTTTGTTACAGAGTTGTGTACCTCTCCAGAAAACTAGTAATCTTATGTTAACCACACTAAGGGCTCTATTTTGACGGTCCATGCGCAGAGCGCAAAGCGCAGGACGCAAACGCTTTCAGGGGGTGTCAGAACGCGTTTTTGCTAATTTACAGATGGGAAAATCCGCTTTGCGCCGTGGCACATGTTCTAAAAGGGTTGAGTTTATTTTCTTAATGAGTTATAGGTGTGTTTTGAGAATAAACCAATTATAGTCTCATCTACCATTTCCTTTAAGAGCCAGCTGCGTCACGCCAAGAGCGCATTCGCTATTTACAGGACGTAAAGTAAGTCTAAGTGGAAAAACTGAGCATTTCAGTGGCAAACAGTTAACAGTTTTTTTTTTTTTTTTACAGAAAACTGTTAAACAGAGCATCTACTGCGTGGGAATGAGAGATAATGGATCTACTTTCACTTTCGCTCTTGGAGAGGGAAATCAATTAGTCTATAAATAATTAATTGCGTTTGTTAAGTGCAAATATTCGTTTCAAAACTATTTCTAAATTCAGTTCTAATTTCCAGCAAACGAATAAATGAATAATAATAACGAAGTGTGCTCAAAAACTTTATATACTTTATATACTTTATATTTAGGAGTTATATCCTAAAACACATGCAGTGCCCCTTATGGTCTAAAACCTGACAGGTGGGCAAATCTAAGCTTGTTTTAATAAAACAAATATAAATGTGGATATAATAAATAATACTGCTAATAATAATAACATTATACAAAAGCAAATTGTTATGAATGAACTGAAGACATAAAAGCAGTGATTTTTCATATTTATGTAGGCTAGAAAATAATATGTTTTGTAATATTTTAATCCTTTATATTTATATTCTATATCTATTCTTATTATATCCTATATATATCCTTAATATTTAAATTTTTTCATATGTAAAGATATTTGCTTATTGCTCTCTTGTGCGTATTAAGCAGTGTGTAAGCGAGGCGCAACTCTGCGCCGGAGTTTAGACCGGGTTAGTTTTGGTCTAATGAAAAATCTATTATAGTTTCTCAAAATAGCAACGCGCCAGCAGTGCACCTCAGAACGCCTTCCTTTTTAGACCAGAACGCCTATGGGCGCACAAATGAGCGCTAATGCATTTGCTATTTAAACAGCGTAGCGCAATGCCTCAAAACGACACTTGCGCCAAGCTGAAACTAGCAAACAAGTATTTTAGAGGTTTCATGTAGCTAAGATATTTTTTAAAACTAAAGTTGTGAAAACTCTGTTTATAAAAATATCTGTGTACACAGACATTTCCTAAATAAGACCTGAAAAAATGAGATTACAGTCTTATATGATGGGGAGAATGACCTCTATGGTCTTTCTAGTAGCTACAGAATTCTGGTAATTCCAGTGTTAAAACAAAATAAAACTAGTTATTTTCAGAAAGCACTAAATAAACCAAAAGTGATTCTCCTGTTTCCAGTAGAGCATAATAGTTTGTTTGATGGGGTCAGTAGGGTCTCTGCTCGTCCTACACTGGAGTGCATCATGTTGTGCTTTTCACTGTAGAGATGCTTCCAAACTTTTTTTCATATTGTTTCCCCCTGTGATTCGCAACGAGTGTATTTTAACATTTTTATATAGACTATAATGAGGTTACACAACGGCTCATCAATATTAATAGGCAGTCATGCCGAACCATGCAATGGAGCCGCTCTTTAAAACATTTGCCTATTAAGGGTAGATGATTACTCGTTATAGATGGTCATGGTGTTGGCTGAGGTCCAGAATGCAAATGTCCTGACTAATTCTGCTCTCTCTTTCTATCTCTCTGTCTTTTTCATTTTATCAGCTGAGGGGAAAATAGAAAGAAATGTGGTGTTTTAATAAATGTCTTAGATTTTGCTGCATAAATTTGATGGGCTCATTATATCTGCTGCATGTCTTTCGGTCGTTAATGCTTTATGGAAAATGCATTCGCACTAAACTTTCAATACTTTACTAGAGGAATATGAACAGGTTAGAGCGGAAGATTAGATTCTATCTATCTATCTATCTATCTATCTATCTATCTATCTATCTATCTATCTATCTATCTATCTATCTATCTATCTATCTATCTATCTATCTATCTATCTATCTATCTATCTATCTATCTATCTATCTATCTATCTATCTATCTATCTATCTATCTATCTATCTATCTATCTATCTATCTCTGTCTGTCTGTCTGTCTGTCTGTCTGTCTGTCTGTCTGTCATTCATCCATCTGTCATTTAATCAATCTATTTGTCATTCCATCAGTCAATCAATCCATCCTTTCATCCATGCATTGTTCTATCCATTCATCCATCAATCTGTTGTTTCATCAATCCATTCTTTGTTCCATCAACACATCCATATATCCATCCTTATACATTATTCCATCCCACCATCTATTGTTCCATCCATCCTTCCATCCATTTATCCTTCCATCTGTTGTTCCATCCATCCATCCATCCTTCTGTTGTCCCATCCATCCATCCATCCATCTGTTGTTCCATCAATCCATATTTGTTCCATCAAAACATCCATATATCCATCCTTACGTCATTCCATCCCTCCATCTGTTGTTCAATGAATCCATCTGTTGTTCCATCCATCAAAACCTCCATCCATCTAATCATCCTTCTATCCACCCATCTGTTGTTCCATCCATCTGTTGCTTTATCCGTTGTTCCATCCGTTGTTCCATCCATCTATCCATCCGTTGTTCTATCAATCCATAGATTGTTCCATCAATACATCCATATATCTGTTGTTCTATTCATCTATCCATTGTTCCATCAATCCATACTTTGTTTCATCAATACATCCATATATCCATCCTTATGTCATTCCATCCCTCCATCTGTTGTTTCATCCAGCAACACATCCATCCATCCATCCATCCATTGTTCCATCAGTCCATACTTTGTTTCATCAATACATCCATATATCCACCCTTGCATCATTCCATCCCTCCATCCATTGTTCTATTATCCATCTGTTGTTCCATCCATCTTTCCACCACTCCATCAAGCCATTTATATATTGTTCTATTGTTATATCTATTGTTCTATCCATCCATCAACACATCCATCCATCAACACATCCATCCATCCATTCATCCATCCATCTATCCGTCCATCCATCCGTCATTCCATCCATCCATCCATCCATCCATCCATCCATCCAACCATCCATCCATCCATCCATCCAACCATCCATCCATCCATCCATCCATCCATCCATCCATCCATCCATCCATCTATCTGTTGTTCCATTCTTACATCTATACATCCTTTGTTCCATTAATACATCTATATATCCACCCTTACACCATTCCATCCCTTTATCTATTGTTCTATTAATCTTTCCATCATTACATCCATCCATTCATCCATCCACCCATCCGTCATTCCATCCATCCATCCATCCATCCATCCATCCATTTATCCATCCATCCATTAATCTATCTGTTGTTCCATTCTTCCATCTATACATCCTTTGTTCCATCAGTACATCCATTTATCCACCCTTACACCATTCCATCCCTTTATCTATTTTTCAATTAATCTTTCCATCATTACATCCATCCATCCATCCATCTGTTGTTTCATCCATCCATACTTTGTTCCATCAACACATTCATATATTCATCCTTATGTCATTCCATCCCTCCATCTGTTGTTCCGTTAATCCATCCATCCATCCATCCATCCATCCATCCATCCATCCATCCATCCATCCATCCATCCATCCATCCATCCATCCATCCATCCATTTATTTATTGTTCTATTCTTCTGTCATCTATTTTGTTCACATTTTGGATGAATATGTTTTCTCTTTGGTGTTATTTCTTTTCATTTCTTTTGATTGAACGCAGTTGTTCTTTGTGTGTGTCCACAGCTCCTGGACTGCTTCGTGATCCCCGTGGTGCTGCTGCTGTCCTGGTTCTTTCTCTTAGTCAGGTATAAAGTGCTACACTTTGTGGGTGTTGGCGTGTGTCTCTTGGGCATGGGCTGCATGGTGGGCGCAGACGTCCTGGTGGGCCGACAACAAGGCCTCGGTAAGTCCTCATGCCTTAACTGTCACCTCACACTACACCCTGCATATTAACCCACACAATAACCCTCTCTGCTTTCCCCTGGGTAGTGTTTTGTTTCACTCTCAGCTTCAGTGCAGACGTTACATCAGCCTAAAGCACTGCCCAATCCTCAAGAGAACCCCGGATCTTGCGGATTGATTCCGTTTCAGAGTCCGTTATTAAATATGAATGAACAGTAAGGGCTTGTCCGAATAATTTCACGCACAGTTATCCTCATGGGGGAGGCCTAATGAAAAATCATAGTAATTTGCAGAGATTCTCCTGTTGTTAGAGTTGTCTGAGAATGATTTACCCTCCGCTGAGTGAATCTTACATTTATGCATGGATGCTTTTATCCAGTGAATTAAAATCGAACATTTTAGCAGTATGTGTGTTTTATAGTCTTTGACCATTCATACATTGCTTTACATTATATTTACCTAATGCAATGTAACATATTGTTATTATTATTATTAGAATTTTGGGTCACACTTAATTTTAAGGTACAGTTCTACAGTACAGTTTACTAGATGAACATTAACAGGTTAAAGCTGAAGATTCTATTTATCTATCTGTCTGTCCGTCCGTCCGTCCGCCGGCCGTCCATTATTCTAACATTCCATCCATCCATGCATCTATCCATCATTTTGTTTTTACCATTCTAACATTCCATTCATCCATCCATTTTGTTTTGTTCTAACATTTTATCCATCCATCCATTTATTCATTTATCCATCCATCCAATGTTTTGTTCTATTGTTCTAACATTGCATTCATCCATCCATCAATCCAACCAACATTTTGTTTTATTATTCCAACATTTTATCTATCTATCAATCAATCCATCCATCCATCCATCCATCCATCCATCCATCCATCCATTCATTCAGCCATTCATCCATCCATCCATCCATCCATCCATTGTTTTGTTTTATCGTTCTAACATTTTATCCATCCATCCACTTATCCATCCATCCATCCATCCATCATTTTTTGTTGAATTATTCTAACATTATATCCATCCATCCATCCATTCATCCATCCATCCACTGTTTTGTTTTATCGTTTTCTAAAGACTAAATTTTTTAATCTTTTAAAAACAGTAATCAAAACAGCCAAACTTCAATGTCACTACTTAGTTATTTGTCTGCTGTATGAAAGAATCCAATTAAGAGAAGTTTAAGCATTTTACATGAGTCAAGTTAAGAGATAAGTATATTAAAACACAAAGAATGCTGATTAAAATTAGAAAAAAAAATTAGATACCTCTCCAAGTTAACATGTGCTCTTCTGTGGTAATTGAAACCAAGGGCCTCTATTCTTCCTACTGTTTTTTTGACAGCTTTAACTTTCTGTAATTTTCCTCGTGCCTAAATCATTGCTGCTCTGTACTTTTAAGCACTGTGTTTTTCTCAAAGACTTTTTTGTTGAAGTGGAATGGCGATATTGTAGTCACATTTAAAGTTAATTTCTGAGAAAAATGTTCATAAATTGTTTGGTAATTTTGTATATATTCGGTATGCTCATAGATTCTATTATTAAACAAAAAATTTATGTATTTTTCCTTACAGGAGATCATAAGCTCTTGGGGGATTTGTTGGTTCTTGGTGGAGCCACGCTGTACGGCATATCCAATGTTTGTGAGGAGTTCATCGTGAAGAATCTGAGCCGGGTCGAATTTCTGGGAATGATGGGTCTTTTTGGCTCCTTCTTCAGTGGCATTCAACTGTGAGTCTCTGAGCAGTCCACATATAACCATCTATCAGTTCATGTAGTCTTTATTTCCATAGCACTTTAAACAATGCAGATTATGTCAAAGTGGTTTCACAGAGCACAACTGGACACACTCCAAAGTTCATCGATTTAAAACAAGGAAAATTCCATAATTAGCTTTTTTATATTCATTAATTTTATTTTTTTCAGCTTAGTCCCTTTATTAATTAGGGGTTGCCACAGCGGAATGAACTGCCAACTTATCCAGCATATGTTTTACAAGGTGGATGCCTTTCCAGCTGCAACCCATCACTGGGAAACATCCATACACACTCATTCACACACATACACTACGGACAATTTAGCTTACCCTTATGTCTTTGGATTGTGGGGGAAACCGCAGCACCTGCGGGAAACCCACACCAACAGGGGAAGAACAAGCAAACTCCACACAGATATGCCAACTGAACCACCCGGGGCTCAAAGAAGTGACCGTCTTGCTGTGTGGCGACATCGCTACCCACTGCGCCACCATGTCACCCCTGTTTATTGTGTTATAATAACACAATAGTATTAATAATAAATTGCCCTTTTAAAATGACTGATATGACCCTTATGTGCTGTTGGGGATGTTTTCATCCATTCTGGGGTGATTTTGAGTCCTTATTTGGCCATACCTTTTATTTGTGTTTCAGCTAGTGGAATGATGTTTGGTGACACATCTTATTTTGACACATATTTTGTGAAAATGCTTTAAAAAAACTTAGTGATACACTCTGAGCAAATTTAATACCCTTTTGTTATTTTAGGGATGAAAAGTAGTAAATGTGAACAAGGGTTAAGAATATATGTGAACCTGGAGCACAAAACTGGACCACAAACTGGACCAAAAAGACATGATGGTCCTTTTTTGATTGACATATATACATAATCTGAAAACTGAGTAATCATTGATGTATAGTTTATTGGGATATGGCAGTGTTTGACTGAGGTACAACGCTTTGAAAATCTGGAATCTTAGGATTCAAAAAAATCTAAATAATGAGAAAATTAAGTTTTTAACAATGCATATAAGTAATCAAAATAACTTTAGATGTTTAATATGGTAGGAAAATTATCTTTTCATAATATTCTTGTAATTTTCTGTATGAAAGGAAAAAATATTTTTGATTTTCTATCATTGGATATTCAATTCTATTAATATTCCTTCTATTCATAGCACTTTTACTATGTAGATTGTGTCAAAGCAGCTAAACATAGAAGTTCTAGTACAATCCAGTTTTCAGAGTTGAAGTTCAGTTTAGTTCAGTTCAGTGTGGTTTAAGTTTCACTGCTGAGAGTTCAAACACTGAAGAGCAAATCTATCGATGCGCAGCTCCACAAATCTCAATCCAAGCAAGCCAGTGGCAAGGATATAAAACTTCACTAATTGACGAAGTGAAGAGAAAAAATATATGCCAACAAATACAAATGTACATGTGCAATTTAAGATTAAGGTTTTGTTGTCAAGAATAAATGTCTGCAAACTTACCCTTTATATTTTGATTAAATAATACTAATTTTAGTTCCGACATGTACTCACAGTACAGAGGTGGTTAGTATTACACAATGCTAACCACCCTGTTATGATTGGACGCTGACAACGAGCATGCGTATACACATGCAGTTTATTAAACAAAGTCGTGCAGGCAATGGTCAAAAACAGGAGCATACAGGTAATCCAAGATACATAGTTAAAAATACAGGCAAAGGGTCAGGCCAGATGGCAAAAAATCTACAAACAGTAAACAAGCAAAAGGTCACAACACTGGAAGGGTAGACAATGCTAGCAGAATGTTAACATTAATGTTAATGACCTTCTCGCTGTGAGGTGGCAGTGCTAACCATTGAGCCACCGTGCCACCATCACTGACATCATGTTGGTAATTAAAATGGCACTGTTATGATAGTTTGACATTAAAGTATATTATAAAATAGATTGCTCTGGTGCTTGATTCTGATTGGTTGTGCTGCGTTCAAGCTTGTTGTAAAATACTCTACAAACATACTGTATACATGTGAGTCTCTGGCACTGTTGCTTAGCAACCATTCCACTCTCAGCTGTGTTTCATTTTCCGAAACTCTACTACATTTATGGAAAAACCCTTTTATTAAAACTTTAAGCCCCATGAAGCCATAGTTTACAGTTAATTTATTACAGCCCAGGGGGTTTAATGCACTACACTCCATGTCATACCCTAACAATGCCACTTAGCTGTTATAAATTCACTGTAAACCACAGCGTCTTGGGGCTTATTACTTTATTTGAGCCTACACTTTAAAAGGCTGCATTTACACTGTAGATCTTGATGGTCAATTCTGATTTTGTGACTATCCGATTTTTTTTTGCTGACCTGTTCACATCATCTTTTAAAAGTGACTTCTATCCAATTGTCTGTATTTAATCAGCATGTGGCAAAGGCGCAATATCCAGGAAAAAAAAGCTTACAGCTGTTAATAAAAGAGCTCCCTTTTCTCCATTCCTGTTATTGTGTTCACAGGGTTTACATTTTTATTTTTTTGTATTCTTTTGGACAAGTTGTTTTATTTTAGTTCATGACAGAACAGTTATTTTAATCTAGGAAGTTTTAAACCAGTAGGCATCTTAATGTAATGTCCAAAGCGTGATTTAGGCATGTGATGTAAGCCATAGTTTTATAATAGTTTATACTGGTTACGTGGCGGATGTTACGCGCTCTCTCTCTCTCATTAACATGCTTAAATACCTGTGCCATATGACAGGGGTTCTCAGCCTTTTTCACTTCGGGGCCTACTTTTTTCTCTGATCACTTTTTGAAGGCCCAACTATCTGACATTTTCTCATTAATTAACATCATAAACTATATATATATATATATATATATATATATATATATATATATATATATATATATATATATATATATATATATATACAGTATATAACTATATAACACACAGATTCTAAAAGAAGCTTTTGCTTTAAACTGGACTGACTGAATATTCATTCATTCATTCATTCATTCATTTTCTTGTCGGCTTAGTCCCTTTATTAATGCGGGGTCACCACAGCAGAATGAACCGCCAACTTATCCAGCAAGTTTTTACGCAGCGGATGCCCTTCCAGCCGCAACCCATCTCCGGGAAAGACTGACTGAATATTTACTATTAAATATCTACTGTTTAAAAATCTACAGACGAATGTAAATTTGTTGAAACGCGTAGATCTGATGGCGGTTGAGTTTGCAGCTGGATATTATTGGGAGATCGCTGACAGGAACAGTGAACAGCTCCACCAGAGCGTGTCTGAAGATCAAATGCAAGTTTATTTTACATTCTATGACAGAATGAAACACCATTGAGCCTCGCTAGATCCTCCTCTATTGGTGTGCGTCCATTATAAACACTCACAGACAACTATGCACATATATTAAATAGTTCACACAAAAATACACAAAGAGAGACTTTCACTTTCACTTCACGTATAGCTTGTGAATGAACACTTATGTGTACTAGTTGCAAATGCGATCATGAGACTGTTTTTGCATTGAGTTTGAAGTAATCAATCAGGGGACAAGAGAAAGTGCATTACTTCGATCATTTTAATATAGCATATTAATAATAAAATCAAGAATTATAGTATAATATTGAGAGTTCATTTTAAGGTATTCGCGGCCCACCTGCAGGATCGCCGAGGCCCACTAGTGGGCCACGGCCCACCAGTTGAGAATCCCTGCTATATGAAAATATACAGTAAAAGCTTTTTTAGTCCTCATGTTTGAGATTTAAGGTTTGGGACTCTGAAGTCTGAAGCTGAAGCTGATGTCTGTTCCGAAATGAAAGAGTCAGAGTTGATGTCATTCTCTATGGGTTTTAATGAAGTGCGACTTACATTGACAGGTGAAAATCCGATCTACCTGCTTACAATGTAGACACAAGGGCATAGACCCAATTCATATTGGATGAATTTCCACATATAAACAAGGCCTGAATCTAATTTGAGTAAATCAGAATTTTTTCCTGCTTACAGTTACATGGGCCATATCCCGTCTGTGCCACATGGGAGAAAAAAAAAATCAGATTTGAGTCACTTAAACCATGCAGTGCAAATGCAGCCAAAAATACGCAATATTCCTTTATGTTGTACCAACACAAATACATTCACTTAAAACTATTTTCTATTTAAATGGATTGTACATAAAACAAATAAGTTGTCCCAAAAAAATCTCAAGATTTGTATTGTTTCAACTCGACTCATTTTGACTAAGTTGTTTGAACAAGCTTAGTAGTTTTGAGTGTATAGACTATGTTGACTCAGAAATAAAGGTAGGCGAGCTGTCACTGAGGTGGTACCTTTTTTAAAGGTACATATTTGTACTTAAAGGGTTCTTATTAAGCCTCAAGGCTACATATTAGAACCCCAAAAATACAAAAGTGTATCTCTTGACATTTTAGGTAGTAATATATACCTTTGAGGTACCAATATATACCCTTTAGGTACAAATATGTATTATTCAAAAAGGTACCATCCCAGTGACAGCTCTTGTACCTTTATTTCCGAGAGTGTTAGACTATATTTTGAATAAATCCCTTTTTTTTGCATAGCACATTAATGTTACAGTACACAAAGGCCTTATAGCAATATCTTAAATATTATATAATAATTTATTTCATTTTAACTTAAAAATCAGTTAACAAACTTTCATAGACAACCCAAGAATTCAGGAATGGTCTTATCTTGAAAGCTTAGTTACAAGCTGTTCACACAGTGGCAATAAACTGTGATTAATCCATGAAAATTCTCATAGATATTCACTCTTTGATGCTCTTGCTTCATATGGTTTGCATATAAATAGTTGTATTGCCAGTTACCTGCTAACCCATCATGCATCTTCACAGTTTGACGTTTATACAGGCTCCATGTTTAATTATCATTTCCACCAGAGCTGTTTGGATCACTAGCACAACATATTTCAGCTTCTCCCACTCACGAGCCAGCTGGAAGGTTCCCGTCCGCCGTCTTTTTTTATCCATCTGCAAACGAGACCCATTTGGACCGCCCGCGTCCCCCAGCAAGCAGCTCCAGCTGGAGCTCAATTCACCATCTAACACCTTCATTCCCCTGGCGGTGAAGCTTCAGTGTGCTTTAAGGTCTATATTTGCGGCGTATTTACATAAACGCCAGCGACTCTGTTTAACCATGCCAGCTGGGTGTAATTATGCTGAAAGCCATTCAGACTGGAGTTGTGGATGGCAGTCAAGTCCTGCTTCTACTTAAAGTAGGATTTCTGTAGTCGGTAAAATTCCAAGTCTTCATTTATTCTTAAACTTTAGATGATACTTTGATTTGGATAGATCTAAATATTTTCCCTAATTTAAACTAATTAGCATGTGATATGTGGATTCGGTTATTCACAGATATGTGTGTTTGTGTTTGTGTTTGTGTGTGTGTGTGTGTGTGTGTGTGTGTGTGTGTGTGTGTGTGTGTGTGTGTATATATATATATATATATATATATATATATATATATATATATATATATATATATATATATATATATATAGAACAATTTCAGCAGACCCAATACACAAATACACTACGAACAATTTTAGCAGACCCAATTCACTTATACCACATGTCTAGGGATTTTTGGGGGAAACCGGAGCACCCGGAGGAAACCCACGCCAACATGGGGAGAACATGCAAACTCCAGACAGAAACACCAACTGACCCAGCCAAGGTCAGAATTATTAGCCCTCCTTTAAATTATTATTATTATTTTTTAAATATTACCCAAATTATGTTTAACAGAGCACGGAAATGTTCACAGTATGTGGATAATGTTTTTTCTACTGAATAAAGTCTTATTTATTTTATTTTAGCTAGAATAAAAGCAGCTTTAAATTTTTTAAACACCATTTTAAGGTCAAAATTATTAGCCCCTTTAAGCTGTATTTTTTCGATAGTCTATAGAACAAATCAACGTTATACAATAACTTGCCTAGTTAACCTAATTAACCTAGTTAAGCCTTTGAATATTTCACCTTAATGTGTAGAAGTGTCTTAAAAAATATCTAGTAAAATATTATTTACTGTCATCATGGCAAAGATAAAATAAATCAGTTATTAAAAATTAGTTATTAAAACTGTTATGTTTAGAAATATGTTGCACAAATCTTGTCTCAGTTAAACAGAAATTGGGGGAAAATAACAGTAATTCATAAAAAATAAACAATAATTCATAAAAAAATAATACTGTATATCAGGGGGCTAATAATTCTGACTTCAAATGTAAATAGGCTAGTTTTAATAAATGAGTAAATAAGATATTTTTTATAGCCTATGTAAATAAATATAGACCTAACATCTTTTTAAATTAATTAAATGGGGCTATTTTCTAAAAATATGCATGTCCAACTTCATCATTTCATCTAATTAAACACAAATAAGACACATACAGTTGAAGTCAAAATTATTAGCCCCCCTTTGAGTTTTCTTTTATTTTTTAAATATTTCCCAAATGATGTTTAACGGAGCAGGGAATTTTTCACAGTATGTCTGACAATATTTTGTCTTCTGGAGAAAGTCTTATTTATTTTATTTTGGCTAGAATAAAAGCAGTTTTTATTTTTTTTAAACACAATTTTAAGGTCAAAATTATTAACCCCTTTAAGCTATATTTTGTTTCGATATTCTACAGAACAAACCACTATTGTCATACAATAACTTGCCCAATTACCCTAACCTGCCCAGTTAACCTAATTAACCTTGTTAAGCCTTTAAATGTCACTTTAAGCTGTATAGAAGTGTCTTGAAAAATATCTAGTAAAATACTATGTACTGTCATCATGGCAAAGATAAAATAAATCAGTTATTAGAGATAAGCTATTAAAACTATTATGTTCAGAAATGTGTTGAACAAATCTTTTCTCAGTTAAACAGAAATTGGGTAAAAAATAAACAGGGGGGCTAATAATTCTGACTTCAACTGTATATATATTCCATGTATTTTAAGAAGCAATGTACTTAAAAAAAAAGGCTATAGGCTACGTTAAAACTTTAACAGGCAATGAATAACTGATATAAATGAAAGATAAATAACTTTTTTTGTGAAAGCATGAGAGAATCTTGCGGGAGTGCTGTTATAGTCTCGAATGACCAACGATTGTGTATTACCGCAACATGTTTTATTAGAGAACATTTCAGCTAGTTCTTTGATTTTCTTTTTCGGTTGTTTCATTTTTACAAATTGTTTTATTTAACTTGTTAATTAAATCCCATTTTGTTATTTAGCTTATTATTTTTATGCGAGAAAGTTGCAAATTAATTTACTATGAGATGTGGCTTTGTATGGTAGTGCCCTCATTTGCAGCGTGCGCCTCAACTGCTGCTGAGAGAGCGAGAGAGATTGAGAGAGAGAGAGCAAGAGAGTGCAAAAGAGAGTGCAATAGAAATAATTCATTTTTTTTGCATGCCGATTTATGTGAAATTGCGAATACAATCGCCTTTTACTAAAAAAAAAAAAAAAAAAAATATATATATATATATATATATATACATACAGTTGAAGTCAGAATTATTAGCCCCCCTGAATTATTAGCGCCCCTGTTTATTTATTTTTTTCACCAATTTCTGTTTAATGGAGGGAAGATTTATTCAGCACATTTCTAAGCATAATAGTTTTAAAAACTTATTTCTAATAACTGATTTATTTTATCTTTCCCATGATTACAGTAAATAATATTTTACTTGATATTTTTCAAGACACTTCTATTCAGCTTAAAGTGACATTTAAAGGCTTAACTAGGTTAATAAGGTGAACTAGGCAGGTTAGGGTAATTAGGCAAGTTATTGTATAACGATGGTTTGTTCTGTAGATTATTGAAAAAAAATAAGCTTAAAGGGGCTAATAATTTTGTACCAAAAATGTTTTTAAAAAAATGTATAACTGCTTTTAATCTAGCCGAAATAAAACAAATAAGACTTTCTCCAGAAGAAAAAAATATTATCAGGCATACTGTGAAAATTTCCTTGCTCTATTAAACATCTTTTGAGAAATATAAAAAAAAAATAAAATCAAATCAAAAGGGGGCTAATAATTCTGACTTCAACTGTATATATTTTGTATTTTTTCCTTGAGTAGGCTGGTCTAATTTTCAATTCATGCTAAAGATGTGTAGTGCTGCCGTCCGAAAGGGTCGGTCAAGTGATGTTGATGTGAACACCTGTCATATTGTTTTTAGTTCATTTATTATCACTGAAGATGATTAAAAATAATAATACTATTCATTTTATTTAAAATGTAATTAAAACATGCAGTGGGTCTACATCACGGGTGTCCAAACTCGGTCCTGGAGGACAGGTGTTCTGCAGATTTTAGCTCCAACTTGACTCAACAAACCTGCAAGGAGGTTTCTAGAAAGCCTAGTAAGAGCTTGACTAGCTAGCCCAGGTGTGTCTGATTGGTGTTGGAACTAAATTTTGCAGGGCACCGGCCCTCCAGGACTGAGTCTGGACCTGTCTGGTCTATATTAATGCAAAACGAGCTTAATGTTGTCTTTAAAATCGTCATAGGTCTCAGCTCTTGGCAATATCTTTGCCTATCGTCGATACACGATACTATCATCTATCGGCACAACCCTACTAACAACTTTTCTATTGGTGTCAACTAAATTTGTCTTTTCAAATGTGAAATGTGGAGCAACCCGGTAAAATCTGACTGCTTCACAAAGAGCTGGAGTCCACTGGATCTAACATATTCTGTGGCTGCATCCAGTGGTTTCATCCGCAGGCTTCAGGAGCCCTACTAGATGCTTTCGGCGGACAGGACTTGTAACATTGGCATCAGATCATCAGCTCAGTCCTGTCACACGCGGCCGGAGGACAGCTTCCAGCTCGGCTTTAATTGTGCGTGGGGGGATTGCATGACCTGTCATTGTTAGTAAGTCGGGAAAAGCTCCAGCAGTGTGATAAAAAAAAAACCCGGGACTGTTCAGGGGAGATTGACCGCTCTTTTCTCCGGCTGGCTGGATTTGTCACTCTTTCCTGTTGTTGCTGAGATCGGCCTTCTGTCAAAATGAAGCATGCTGTCGAGGCTTCAGAGCTGTCACTGTTTGTCTTATATTGACGTGTTTTTTTCTCTCCCGTCTCACCCGTGTTTCTGTTTTTCAGGGCCATTATGGAGCACAAGGAGCTGCTGAAGGTGCAGTGGGACTGGCAGATCGGTAAGCTTCTGATTCTGATGGTTTTCACACTTGGTTTGATGGCTTGATCTGAAACCTGAGTTGAATTCAATCAGCCTCTCCCTGTTGGCGCAAGTCTCTTTTCACAGTGCAGCACTGAGACCAAAGCAGTTTTATTGTCACTAATCCTATTTGTAAAGTGAATTTTGGTAGAGTATCTAAACTAATTTTAATATGTTGATATTTTAAACCAAATCACAAAAAATATAAGCTAAATTAAAGATGTCCTAAATAGTTTTATTAGTAGTATATCTGTTCAAAACCAAGATTTATTGATAAATAAAATGCTTATAACAAATTTAAATAAAAGAGTTTAACCGGCCACTTTTTACTCAGATTTTTATAGACTTTGCAAAATGACCAAAAAAAAAAAAAAAAAAGCTGTTATTTGGATGTTACAAAATGTATAAAATACCCATGCATTGTAAAGTATTAAAGAGCTATCAGTTGAATACATCGGTTATGTTAAATATTTGTTTATGAATAGATGTATTTGTTTTAATCTCAGATTGTTGCAAATTTATTACAAATAAAAAACCTGAAAAATCACATGTACATAGTTTTCACAGCCTTTGCTCAATACTTTCTTGTTGCAACTTTGGCAGCCATTACAGCCTCAAGTCTTTTTGAATATGACGCCACAAGCTTGGCACACCTGTCTTTGGGAATTTTGCAGTACCTCTTAAGCTCTATTAGGTTGGATGGGAAGCGACGGTGTACAGCCATTTTCAGATCTCTCTTGAGATGCTCAATAGGATTTAGGTCTGGGCTCTGGCTGGGCCACTCAAGGACATTCACCGAGTTGTTGTGAAGCTACTGCATTGATATTTTGGCGGTGTGCTTTGGGTCATTGTCCTGCTGAAAGATGAACTTTCGCCTCAGTTTGAGGTCAAGAGCACTCTGAAGCAGGTTTTCATGGATGTCTCCGTACATGACTGCATTCATCTTTCCCTCTATCCTGACTAGTCTTCCAGTTCCTGCTGCTGAAAAACATCCCCACAGCATGATGCTGCCACCACCATGCTTCACTGTAGTAATGGTATTAGCCTGGTGATAAACAGTGCCTGTTTTTCTCCAAACGTAACGCCTGGCATTCACTCCAAAGAGTTCAGTTTTAGTCTCATCAGACTAGAGAATTTAGTTTCTTATGGTCTGAGAGTTCTACAGATGCCATTTGGCAAATTCCAGGCGGGGAGTGGCTTCCGTCTGGCCACTCAACCATACAGGCCTGATTGGTGGATTGCTGCACAGATGGTTTTCCTTCTGTAAGGTTCTCCTCTCTCCACTGAAGAATGCAGGAGCTCAGACAGTGTGACCATCGGGTTATTAATCACCTCCCTGACTAAGACCCTTCTCCACCGATCAGCTTAAATGGCCGGCCAGCTCTAGGAAGAGTCCTGGTGGTACCAAACATCTTCCACTTACGGATGATGGAGGCCACTGTGCTCATTGGAACTTTTAGAGCAGCAGAAATTTTTCTGTAACCTTTCCCAGCCTTGTGTCTCGAAACAATCCTGTCGCGCAGGTCTACATATAATTCCTTTGTCTTTATGTTTGGTTTGTGCTTTGACATGCATTGTCAACCCCGTGACCTTCTATAGACTGGTGTTTGCCTTTTCAAATCATGTCCAAGCAACTGAATTTACCACAGAACCTCAATTAAGCTGCTGAAACATCTCAAGAATGATCAGTGGAAACAGAACGTAGCTGAGCTCAATTTAGAGCTTCATGGCAAAGGCTGTGAATACTTGTGTACATGTGATTTTTAACTTGATTAAATGTTTACTTTAAGAATAATATAATATTAGTCGTATTGTATTGTTATATTAAATATTGTTTTTGTTGTTTGGGATGCGGTGAAACAGTCAAATATTCTGCTGAACAGATCCGCCATTTTTGACGCTCATAAACAGTCATAAAGTCCTTGTGCTGCAGGTATTAGGAGGTTTGCTGAAGGCGCAGCTGTAGTGTAGTATGGAGTTTGCATCTTTAATAAACTACGACAGTTTTCGTTCATTGAACGGTAAGAATGATTTATAAATCCATATGAAACAGTCCCTTAAAAGTCTCACACAAGTGTACCGCGCCAAAACCAAAGTCAACCACGCTCAGGCACACCTCTCCCAACAAGGCCAGGGCCGGCCAAGTGAACCATGCGTGAGCCTGATTCAGCACACTCACGCTTCTCAAATGATCCGGGAAACGAGCCTGGGCATGGTTCGGAAAACATAGTGTGAGTACGCCCTGACAGTTGGAGGGACGTGGTTAAGTATGTTAGCCATCCCCAATACCTCATACAGACAAAATCTGACAACTGAAAACAGGAAGTGCATTTTCAGATTTCAATTTAATATTACAAGGACAAACTTTTTCTTCATTATAATAACATGCACAGATGACTTGTTCACCACAAAACTAGCAATGTGAGCCAACAAAATCAATATGTGTAGTTTTAATCCATTTGTTCTGTGTAATAAGCCACTCAAGGCAATGCGTTACTTTGATTTCTGTTAAATGCATCTGATTAGGAATAATTACAAAAATCATTTGCTTTGTAATCCAATTAAGATATGACTTGGCAAAAACCAGCGTCCTCAGAATCAGCGTGTTTTACGACCTAGGAAGTCACTTAGGTTTAATGCAGATTGATGCTCCTGGAGCAGCTTGATGAAGTGTTGAGAGGCCGTGCCAGAGGCAGCATTTGGGTTGTATCCCAGGAGGTTTCTGGCTTGTCACAGGGATATTAGCAAGTCTAGAAGCGCTTGAGGGGGCAACGTCATTAACTGTCGGGGACTGTTGCAAGTAACGCACTTTATGGCAGAAGAAGGAATATCTGCCGCCAAAATCAACGACGCCCTTGGAAAATAACGAGGACATTGTGATTATAATGCATTAGTTATGTTGCCACTGTCCTTGAAAGAGTATGAGAAATTTGTAATTTATTTGTGGCATATATTATATTAGAAACACTTTTAAAACTCTCTCTGAACTTGGTGGCGTATAGCTGACATAAAGCTGAGTCCTTTGAGCCCCTTTAACCTCTTAAGGCCAAAGCTGTTTTTTCATGCATTTTTTATTTTCGTCGATTTTTGAACCAAAATAGCTGGAGTTAGCAGGTTTAATCTTAATCAACTGAGAAATCCGAAGTTAGTGTTGCTTTGCGGATGAACCCCAGGTCGCTACCCCCAGGGAATCACCAGCTAGTCTGTTTGTTTTTGGTCAGCTTATTGACAAATTGATTACTGACATTATTCTGATGTTAAAACACTGATTCAGCAAATGTTTTGAGATCTGACACAATTCAGGAAGGTGTACTATTTTTAGAGCATGAAAAACAGTATTCAAGCTAATTTTTCAAGCAAAACACTTCATATATATATATATATATATATATATATATATATATATATTTGTTTTTGTAAATTATGAATCAGCGATGTCACTTGATACCTCATTATATAATGCATTAATTAAATGTAAGTGTTATATTAGTGTTCAAAAGTGTCCAAATACACTTTGTGGCCTAATTAGTTAGAAATGTTTCTTAAAAATGTCATCACCTCCGACCAGTAGTTTTTTTTTCCCCATAGGTTTTTTCTTTTAACATTAAATCCTGTCCTGCAGATAGATCTGAATAGCAGGTGACAGCTGATAATTCACTGACAGTGTTAGCAAAGCATCTGATTAAGTTATGAAGCCTTCTGCTCAGTTTCAGACACTCATAGCCTGAGAACAATCAACCGCATTGTGCTCTGAAATATATTGTGATTTAATCCGCACATTGATTAGTCTATGCTGGGTACAAACTGGTTATTTGTTTTTACCTCAAGGGTACCTTTCAGAGTTCATCCTGTAATTTATTTTTGATGGCTGCAGTTTCACAAAAGTCAAGCTAAAAGTATTAAATGTGCTGTCATTTAGTGTTTTGTGGGGCTTTAGTATTACCATGTTGTTGTTGTTGTTTTTTTTACCAAAGTTACAAAGTAAAATTGTATTAACCTTGGAGTAACATGTAAATACCATGGTACTAATAATATAATAAAAATGCAATTATTATGATCAATTAAGTAAAATACTAATACTAATACTACTGTACTACTACTACTGCTACTGCTACTACAAACCCAAATCAGAAAAAGTTAGGACAGTATGGAAAACGCTAATAAAAAAAAGAAGTTTTTTTTTTTTTTTTTACTAAATTTACTTAGACTTGTATTTAATAAACACATATTTCAATTTTTGTTCTTGAAGCAGAAAACTTTTGGACTTGTTGCTGTAACACTCTGGATGATCATTTTCTTCTTTGTATTGGAGCACAGGGCATCCATTTCTAGGAAAAAATATCTGAAACACTGATTTATCTGACAACAATACACATTTCCACTGTGTGATGTCCATCCCAGATGTCTCCGAGCCCAAAGAAGTCGAAAGCGCTTCTGGACACTGTTAACATAGGGCTTCCACTTGGCACAGTTCTGTTTTAACTGACATTTGTGGATATATCTGCGTATTGTGGTGCTTGAAAAAGGTTTGCCAAAGTAGTCATGAGCCCATGTGGTGATATGGCTTATAGATGAATGAGCATTCTTAATACAGTGCCGCCTGAGCGATCGGCGATCAAGGTTGTTTAGCTTAGGCTTGCGCCCTTTTCCTTTACTGAAATTCCTCCAGATTCTTTTAATCTTTTAATGATGTTATGCACTGTTGAAGGTGAAATATCAAAATGTCTTTCTATCTTTCTTTAAAGAACATTGTTTTAAACATTTCAATAATTTTCTTTCTTGGAAAACTAACGATCCTCTGCTCATCTTTGCACCTAAAGGACTAGACCTTTCTTGGATGCTGCTTTTGTACCAAATCATAATTACAATCACCTGTTGACATCACCTGCTTCAAATTACATCATTATTTAACCCGTTTACCTGATTACTAGCCCTCATTGCTCCTGTCACAACTTTTTTTTTAAATGTGTTGCATGTCTTAATAACAGGAAAGGATGTATACAGTATACAGTATAGAAGTTGACCAGACAAAATATAAAATATTTTGGGCTCATATTGTCTGCAAAAAACAAAAACAAAAAAACAAGTCAAAGTAAATTTGGATATCCCTACTTTCTTTTTTAGTTGTGTTTTCCATACTGTGCCAACTTTTTCTGATTTGGGGTTGTACTACTACCACAAAAAATAATAATTGTACGTTTTTATTATTGTTTTGAAATGTGATTTACTCATGAAACATGATAATTTAAAATTTCTTGTTTATATTAACTTCATAATTTATAGAAATAGAATACATTTATAAAAAAACATGATAATAATAAAACCATTACTCCTAAAAGCAACAATCTTATGTCACATAATCTTATGCATTTTAGATCTATAATCTAAATCAAAATTCAATAAACTAAAATATGTTCTTCATTTATGTAATTAAACAATAACAACAATAACAAATGTAAGTTTTTAATTATATTGTACTGAAACATGACATCATATTAAATTAGATATAAATTCAAACATAAGTTATCATTTTATTATTTTTATTAAATTTTATATTTTTATTTTAGAACTACTTAATAATTAAAAGCAACATTAGTAATAAGCAATTATTACTTAAAAAGAGTAACAATAATTTTATGATATTTTGTATTTACCTTTACATTTTTAGACTTGTAATCTTATAATGAAATGAACTATTTCACTAAATATTTTCCTAATTTATATAGTATTACTACTTAAACCTCCACTACCAATAATAATAATAATAATAATAATAATAATAATAATAATAATAATAATAATAATAATAATAATAATAATAATAATAGGTCACACGGTGGCTCAGTGGTTTGCACTGTCGCCTCACAGCAAGAAGGTCGCTGATCGAGTCCCGGCTAGTTCCGCGTCGTCTTATTTAATTTTATTTATTTTTTAATTTAATTTTAATTTTATATTTATTCATTTATTTTCTTTTTGGCTTAGTCCCTTTATTAATCTGGGGTCTCCACAGCAGAATTAACCGCCAACTTATCCAGCATATGTTTTACGCAGGGGATGCCCTTCCAGCTGCAAACAATCTCTGGGAAATATCCATACACATGTAGTGTATTCACACACATACACTACAGACTATTTATCTTACCCACTTTACCTATACCACATGTTTTTAGACTTGTGAGGAAAACCAGAGATCCCGGAGGAAACCCACACGAACAACATGCAAATTCCACACAGAAATGCCAACTGACCCAGCCGGGGCTCAAACCAGCGACCTTCTTGCAGTGAGGCGATTGTGCTACCCACTGCGCCACCATGCTGCCCGTTTATTTCATTTTTATTTATCATTTTTATTTACTTATTTATTTATTTTTAGACCCATAATCAAATAATCAGTGTTTATATTGTAGCTAGTCAATCAGTGTATCGTAATTTTTCCTCCATCTTTCCATTACTTCCCAACCTGAGACATGCAGAATGTTTAAAAAAAGCAGTTCATCTATGAATTTTAAATTGGGGGCTTGATGGTCTGCCAGACAGAAGGCAGATTTTGTTAGCATTGTCTGCTTTTTTTCGCTTCAAAACAAATGATCATTATCTGTCTCCATTTCTGCTTGCCTCTCCATCTGCCGGAATAAAACTTGCATTCGGAAATGAATGGCCCGAGAAAAACACGAGTGAATAATTACATTTTTTTTTTTTGTGCCATCCAATTTCATTATGATTGTGCTGGATGAACTAGGGGCAGAATATCACAGCTGCTGACTTTAAAAAAATAATAGAAACTAATATTGTGCTTCCTTGTTGTGCTTCCTTAAACCTGCTATATAATGCTGAACAACAATAATATAATAATAGCTGTTTATACTTTCTGTGAAGCATGTACACATTATGCCTTATATAGAGGTGTTCATAATTTGGCATAGTTATTATTTGTGTTTGATGCATTGTGTATTATGTGAATAGCATAGCCATGAATAGTTATGCATTGTAAATAAGAGATGAAGTACAGTATTAGTATCAGTATTATCATAAATAAACAGATCAAGAGCTTGATGTGAATTATATTAAATGGTTGCTAACAATTAAAAAAGAAAAGAATGTGAAATATTGATTTGATGTTTTATTATGCACAGAGAAAGTTATTTAATGTGATTTGAAAACCTGTCTTATTAATATTAAAGATGGGCAGATTGTTTATAATATTTTAATTAATAATTAATAATTTAATTAATAGTATTGTATCACACTTGTCTCGTATTACTAATTGAAGATATAACAGTTTGTAAGTGTATTAGAATATAATATAATATGTCATCATTTCCATATATATTGTGTTTAGCATAATATAATGTAGCATAATATATATGTTTGCACTACATTAATCTAAACTAACAATAAAATCTTCTAGCAAAGCATTTATTATTTTTTAGTCATGTTAATCTAAACATTTAACAATATATTATTAAATAAAATGCTGCACATGTTAATACTATTTTATAGACATGTTACTGAACAGTTTAACTGATAGAATACATCGTAAATTGCTACTTATATTAAATTGTAATTAATTTAATTGACTTTACATACAGTACATATCTGATTATTTTTGTCACTATATATACAATTATGTCAGAAATGACACTATTGTGTTGAGCCCACAGAAGTGGGCATGTAATTTGTAAAGTTTTATGTCTTTCTGTTGTATTCATATTTTGTTATATCTCCTAAATGAATAAATGAAGAAAACCAGCCACTTGCGACATCAACAGATCTGTGAAGCGAGCACTCTTTCGGCCTGTATCTTACACACATCAAAACACAGCATTTAAATATTTTCTAAAAACAATAAACAATGGAGGATCTTTGAAATATTATTTTTATATCTAAAATCTTTTTGTCATCTTCTTTGGCTTAAAGCGGTTTTATTCATTTATATTACACTGTATATTCCTAAATCGTTATTGACCTTATTCTAAAATGCAGAAGTGCGCCTGTTTTCTCGATTGTTTTAGAACTTCCGATTCAGTTGCCTATGGGAGAAATGACTATGGATAATACATGGCAGAAAAAGGTCAAACTACTTGCTCTACAAACAAATTTTTGCAACTATACATACCAAGTAGAATAATAAAAAAGAAAATATCAGTTTGCAACATCAAGCAGCGTAACAAGCAGTTTTTAACGTCTAAAAATGAATGGAAGTGAATGAGACCAGAGGTCTCGAGCCAAAAAGATTCAAATGGCTGCGCTTGCTCGTCGGTTAAGAATAAGGTAAATAGCTTTTGTTTGTTTTATATTGGTTTATTTAATGTTTATTATATCCGATATTTGTATATCTTTAAATGATTTCAATATTGCTTAGGCTATTTTATTTTGGTCTATGAAATTGTGTTAAGCCCTCAAAAGTGGCCACGTAATTTGTAACATTTTATGTCTTTCTGTTGTATTCACAATAATAAATAAATAAAATAAAATAAAATAAAATAAATAAATAAATAAATAAATAAATAAATAAATAAAATAAAATAAATAAAAATACCCAGCCGCTCAAGGCATCAAGGGAGCCAAATCGAGTGCTCCCACACAAATACTGTACTTTCCATGCATCGAAACACGCATGACAACTAAGTCAATGAAAAAGCGGTTGTTCCTTGCGTCACCTCGTAGCTAATGCATAAAGCACAGAATTTTTAATTTTTTTTTATTTTTTTATGAAAAGGTGGCCTTTTCAGCTGCAGTTATGCTTGTGACTGCTGGTGACAAATTGAAGTACTGCACATGCAGAAACGCGAGTTCTCAGTAGCCATATCTTTATTCCATAAATCAGTTCTGATCAGCTTCCCCTGTGTGTGTAATTAAGCAGCGATCTGGAACCGGTGTGTGGGTGCAGTGCATGATAGGATATGTAGTTAGGTTGAATGACAGGGAGTGTTCTCCAGCTATCTGCAGGAGCTAGATCACTGGTGATCATTACAATAATATAATTTGTATTTTAAAATAACACAAAAAAATCATATGTATTAAATTTCTTCTTACGTTACGATAATATATATATATATATATATATATATATATATATATATATATATATATATATATATAAAAACTATAAAACTCAACAGAAAAAAACACCCAAGGTTGTTTTTAGACATTTTTTAGAAAATGAAAGAGGTTTTGTTTTTTAATCCATTGGATGTATTATTCTATTATCATTATTATCAAATAATAATAATAATAATAATAATAATAATAATATAATAATAATCATAATAATATGATTATTAATAATAATAACTACACATAATAGTGCTTTTTAAACAATAATAATTATTACTTTTATATTGAAACAGGATTTATTCATAATACTTTAATATTTCTTGTTTTTAATTAAAATTTAATTTTTAGATCTATAATCTTATAATGAATAATTCAGTATGTATTATTGAGACTTTATTGCTGTATGTTTTTGTGTCCTGTCAGGGCTTCTGTACATCGGCTTCAGTGCGTGTATGTTTGGCCTGTACAGCTTCATGCCAGTGGTGATCAAGAGAACCAGCGCAACAGCGGTCAATCTGTCTCTGCTCACAGCCGACCTGTACAGCCTCTTCTGCGGACTCTTCCTCTTCCAGTACAAGGTCAGATTAAATTCAGTCTCCTTATTATTGTCAGGTTTAATGAAGTGTGTTTGTGTATTAGGTGTGTGTGTTGTCCTCGAAGTCCTTGATGGTGGGAATCCTCTCTTCACAAATCTTGGATCTCATCAGTGGCGCTACATAATATGTAGCGGCCTCAGGATGGGCATCCCCAGGTGAAAATAGAGAACAAAGAAAATGATTAGTGAGGCTGCTGTTCATAATGTACTTGAGTATGGCAACTGACCAGTCAGAATCAAGTTTTCTAGACAGCCATGTAGTAATACATACAGTTAAAACCAGAAGTTGACATACACTGTATTCAAAGGCACATAACCATTTAAAAAGTCAGATGTTAATGTGTCTAAACTTTTTCTCTTTTAGGTAAGGTAGGATTTTCAATTTTTTTTCTGTTAATAGCAGAATAATGAGAGAGATATTTTTTGAGAAATTGTTATAACTTTTCTTGAAAGTCAAATTTACATACAATAAGATTATTATGCCTCTAAAAAAGCTCAGATGATGGTGTGAAGGTTTTGGAAGTTTCTGATTGGCTAATTGACAACATTTGAGTTAATTGGAGGCACAACTGTAGAATAGTATTTAAGGACCATACTGCTCAACCACACTGCTTCCTTGTGTGACAACATGGAAAAATCAACAAGCCAGAATCAACAACAACAAAAAAGCCAGATTACAATTAGCTAAATTACATTGGGGAAAAGAATAATGTTTGGAGACAGGTCCTGTGGTCTGATGAAACTAAGATTGAATTGTTTGGCCATAATGACCAGTGTTACATTGGGAGGACAATGGGGAAAGCTTACAAGCCTAGGAACACCATCCCAACTGTGAAGTATGGGGGCGGCAGCATCATGCTGTGGGGCTGTTTTGCTGCAGGAGGGACTGTTCCATTTCACAGCATAGATGACATCATGAAGAAAGAACATTATGTACAAATACTGAAGCAACATCTCAAGACATCAGCCAGGAAATTAAAACTTGGCCACAAATGGGTCTTCCGAACACCATCACCCTAAGCAAACTGCCAAATTAGTTAAAATGTGCTTTTAGGACAACAGAGTAAATGTTTTGGAGTGGCCATCACAAAGCCCTGATCTCAATCCTATAGAAAATTTGTGGGCAGAGTTGAAAAAGCTTATGCGAGCAAGCTTGTTACACCAATTCTGTCTGGAGGAATGGACCAAAATTATTGCAAACTATTGTGAGACGCTTGTGGAAGGATACCCAGAACATTTGATTAGTTTAGAAGCAAAGCTAAAAAATACCAAGGAAATGTATGTAAACTTTTGACTCTCTAGAAATTAATGAAAAATTCTCTAAAAAAAAAATCTCTCATTATTCTGGCATTCAGCAAATGTAAATGATTTAGGTAATCCTAACAGACCCAGAAAAAAAACAAACAAAAAAAAATTTAGTATGATTAACCATCAGACATTTAAAAAAAATGGTTATGTTCCTTTTTTTTTTTTTAGAGTGTATATAAACTTCTGGTTGGCAACGCGGTGGCGCAGTGGGTAGCACGTTCGCCTCACAGCAAGAAGGTCGCTGGTTCGATCCTCGGCTCAGTTGGCATTTCTTTGCCGAGTTTGCATGTTCTCCCTGCGTTTGCGTGGGTTTCCTCCAGGTACTCCAGTTTCCCCCACAGTCCAAAGACATGCGGTACAGGTGAATTGGGTAGACTAAATTATCCGTAGTGTGTGTGTGTGTGTGTGTATGTGTGGATGTTTCCCAGAGATGGGTTGCGGCTGGAAGGGCATCCGCTGTGTACAAACTTGCTGGATAAGTTGGCGGTTCATTCCGCTGTGGCGACCACAGAATAATAAAGGGACTAAGCCGACAAGAAAATGAATGAATGAATGAATAAACTTCTGGTTTCAACTGTAACAGCCTGCCTGATATCTATCGACAGTTGAACATGGCACTAAATAAGACAGAAGCAGCTGCCTTATAATTCTGTCTCAACTCAATTTTTTATGATTATAGTTCTCGTCCTTGCTGTAAAAAAGGCCTTTATAAAAGTCCTTTATTTATATATATCAGTTGTATTGCTTGGACTGCAGCAATGCCTACTTGAAAGTTAGGAGTTTGTTGGGCTGAATAGTTTGCACCACACCACTTGAAAAACCTGCATTGCGTCTATACGGATTCACAATACAACAATACAACATCTTTAGAAGAACGTGTAGCGATCTTTTCACTGAAGCACCAAGACAATCTATCAGGGGATTTCAGCAAAAGATCCAGGCTTCATTTTTTTTATGCCGCGCCATTAAAGCTAAAGCCATCACTGAACAAAGCCATCAGTCATCCTGTACAATGAGCACAGTGTTTTAAACTGTTTTTCCATTTAAACTTTTCCCTCGTCTAGCAGCGATTACACTGTCTGGAGGACAAAAAACTGTCTCTTCTTTCCTTTGAACTGATTATTATATGCTATTATTATCACACTGATTCGTTTTAATGGCTCCAGCTCTATTGAAGGTGGTGTTTTGCTGGTGAATAAAATACATCGGCGTTTTTGTTTCTGCCATAGGTAAACGCATTGGGACCTTGAGCTTCAGCATTCATGAAACACAATTAGAGTGATGGATTTGAAACAAGCCTCTGGGTTTCTGCGTGTTGTCTCTGTTTGCCGGGGAAAGTTGGAAGTGGCTCGGTGGAATCCGTTTTTACTGACAACTAAAGCTGTAATCACATCTAAAGCATCGCTGGCTTTGTTTTTCAGTGTCCTTGTGTGAAGAGGCTCAGCACAGATGTCAGCTCTGTCTCATTGTCCTATTGCACTGGGAGAAGAGTTTCATATGTGTGGTGAAATTATTGATTTATGTGCATATAACGTATACATATATAATGTCTGAGACTGCACTGTCAAAAATATCTGTTAATTAACAGTTGTGATTCACAGGTGTTTTGCGTTTATTTACAGTTGTTAATTCCATTATGGGACTGTAACACGGGGTGTGACACAGACAACTGAGTTAGGATCCACTTGCAGGTTTATTCGGTAGTCAGGCAAGCAATGGTAAACACAATGGTGCAAACAGATGTATAAAGGCAAATTCAGAGTCGTAGTCACTATAACAGGCGAGAGGCCGGAGAGGAGGCAGCAGACAGGGATAACTAGGAGAAGGGCTAAGGTAAACACACGGAAGAACAAGACTAAGGAAATGCGTTGAATTGTCACTAATAGTAAACAAGACTCGGTGATGGAAATAAGTGTGTGTGCTGCTTAAGTAGTGTGTGTAATCAGTCTTTGACAATCCTCAAGTGGTGTGAGTTTAATCAGTCATAATGACTGTGTGTGTATGAGCGGAGTGCATGTATAAAAATGTAGTCCATGAATGGCGGATTTGTAGTCCATAAGTTTTTGTGTGTGAGATCCAGCGATCGCCGGTAATCGTGACAGGGACCTTGATCTCTGCACTGTCGACTTTTGATGTTGAAAATTTTGTTTTACAGTTTAAAAAAGTGACTAGTTGTAAATAATATAATGTATGAGAAGTAATATTTTGAGATATATGTCTGTAAAATAATAGAAAATGTACTGGCAGTTTATTGCGCAATTTTTTAAACCATAAAATAAAACACAAACCCAGACAAATCATTTTAACCCAGGAGTCTGGGTGAGGCTGGGCCGCATCAAGTTTTCAATCAGAAACTAATTATATAATTTTTGATTATATTAATTAAATTAATATTTAAAATTAATACATTTTAATTAAATTAATTATATTAATTATACATTTTTAATTGGTTTATTTTTTCATCTTACTTCGTGGTAATAAAAATAAAAATTAAAAGATTTGAAAAGATTAGAATTTTTTGAACATGAAAAAATAAATAAAAAATGAATAAAAAAGGAAATCAATCAGTAATAAATAGTAATAATAATAATAATGATAATAATAAAATATTAATAATTAGATTTCTTGTTATCCGCCGTGCTGTTGTTACAGGAATAGGAAGCAACACTGTGTTGTTGTCATTTGTTTTGACTACTTTTAAATCATATAGAAATATATGTAATGTTTATTGTGTGAGGTAATGCAAATGACCCACAAATAATGGTGCGATTCTGTAACTGGTCCGGGTCACCGGGGACTCTTATTGCTAATGGACAGGTGTCGATGTGTGACTGCAGACGACTACATTAGGCTGCATTGAGTTCCTTACTTTTCTTTTATCCTGCCGCGTAAACATCACTTTGATTTCTTTTCTGCTCACTGCGCACAAAACAATAACCACTAACAAGTGAGAGTTATTGTAGACGCAAGAAAAATGATTGGTTGAAAATATTGTTCAGGACCAATAGTTCACTGTGAATTTTGCTTTAACTAGCACGTGACTACAAATCATACAAATGAGATTTCTGCGTGTTCCTCTGTATTGTTGTTTGGTCTGGTCGCTGTACACAAAAAAGGCTATAGGGGTTACATCAATGCGAGAGACGCGGCAGACATGAAGAGCCTCCAAATGAATCCTCTTCAGCCCTGCACTGAATGCCAGAGCCATTTGTAATGTGGTCATATGAAGCGGAGCTCTCTGGATTCTCTGCACGCTGCTGTTATTGCTGTCTGTGTCTGCACCTGCAGTCTCCGCTCAGCCCTCTCCTTTATTTTCCTGTCTGGCCTTTTGTCTTCTGCAACCTGCTTTCTGCTCCTGTTCACGAGGCCCACTCTAAGTCCTTGTATATGCGAGGAATCTATCTATCTATCTATCTATCTATCTATCTATCTATCTATCTATCTATCTATCTATCTATCTATCTATCTATCTATCTATCTATCTATCTATCTATCTATCTATCTATCTATCTATCTATCTATCTATCTATCTATCTACAAACGAAATTAAATATGCAGGCTAATGGATGTCTTCAGTGGAGTGCGTACAACACTGTTTCCTTACTCTACTAAAGTAAAGGAAAAAGCAAAGTAAAGGGGCCAATGGAGGAAGCTCGTCCTTTATCCTCGCACTGC